AAAAAAAAAAAAAAAAAAAAAAACAGGCCACATGATATATATATATATATATATATATTTATTTTAAGCCGCCATCAATAACACCATTAATAACCCGCTCGCTCCAAGTTTACCAACACTCATACAACTTAATATCAACGCAAAGCCTGAAGTACACATCGCCCTCGTAAGCGTCGGTAGACACCGTCGCGACCCCGCGTGCCATGAAGAAATCGCCCGTCCCTCCAATCACCGAAACTTCCCTCGTCTTGTTCATCAGCGGGTCGGCCCCGACAAAGTTCAGCGTCCCGACGTGCTCGCTCGAGTTGAACACGAACGAGAACCCGAGAAACGCCGTGTACGTGTTCTTGGTGTCGTAGAAGTACATCCCCTGCGCCCGGCCCACCGGCGGCGAGTGGAAGTTGTTGTCTAGGGTTATGGGGTCGTCGAACACGACCATGTCCCCGAAGTTGTAGGGCACGGCCATGGCCGTCTTGTTGCCCCATTGTGGGGACCCCACGATGGCCGACGTGGCATTTTCGTAATTGTGGCCGTTGAAGAGCACGTCGTGGAAATAAAAAACGAGGTGGCGGCATGGCCGGCGTTGCCGGTGATTGGCCGCGGCGGAGGAGGAGATGAGGATGAATAGGCAAAGAAGAGGTAAAAGATATGCTTTGGAAGTGGCCATTGTTTACTAATTAGGTAGAGAAAGAAAGAGATGGTTATAATAAATGTTGCAAGAAGTGATTTGTGTATTAGGGTCGTTATATAGTGCCAAGAGTTTTGGGGGTTGGTGAGCCTTTGTGGTCACGAATCACAAACTCAATAATGCTGCAATGTTGAAATAGAAAATAATATTAAAAAAATAAAATATAGACATGAATTGTCAACAATTTTCTGTCTAAAGTCATACACTTTCCACATGCCTACAAATATGATAAGCGATTGGCTGGAGAAAATAAAAGTTTCTTATGATTTTTCGTTCAATAATGCTCCTTCCCCGGTATTTCCCACTCCATTTTCCCCGACCATGCCAGCAGTGCAAGGAAGAAATTGGTCCATATGATCTTCCCCAATAACCAATTTGTTGAAATAACTTTTGACCAAAAATAATCCAAAAAATCCATAAAAACAAGGAAAAAAGATAAGTATACCCTTAAGCCTTATTTTTGAGAGAAAAAAAATCCTAAATCCAGATCTTTAGAGAATGAGTAGGTCGAATAGTACTCCTCTCTAGGGAAGTATTGAAAAAATTCGAAATAATCAAGGACTAATTCTTGAAAGACTTGAAAAAACGAGTAGAAATATTGAATTTTTTTTAATACGTTACTCTCAGAAATCCTTGATGTTGCATCAAAAAGTTGATATTGAAAAAATTCAAAATAATCAAGAACTAATTCTTGAAAGACTTGAAAAAACGGGTAGAAATATTGAATTTCTAGATACGTTACTCTCAGAAATCTTTGATATTGCAGCAAAAGCTGACAAAATTATTGAAAATATTAACGAAATAAATATAAATAGATTAGAAGAAACCTTAATAAAATTAGATGAGAAAATTCCACAAATTGAACCGTTAATGGAAAATTTAAGCAAAGTAATTTTACTTATTGTAAATCAAATTGGAAAAGAGTTAGGATTAAATGGCTAAAAATCCTGAAGTAGGAAATATACAACAAATACTAACGATAGTTAGTGAAATAAAAGAAGTTGTTCTAAAAATAGAGCAAAATATACAACAGTCTGATTCTAGTAACCAAGACACTAAATTATTAGAAATAGAAAGAATTCTACGAAATATTAAAGAAAAGAAGTCTATACCAACATACAGACCGCCAAATGAATGTGATCTTAGTAATCTGTTTAAAAACGGAAGAAAAAGATTTCCTAGAGAAAAATGAATAGTGACACTCATTCTACTCAAAGTGAAACTGATATTCAGTCTCTCTTAGAAAAATATCAGAATATATTATCTTTAAAAGAATTCGTTGGAAATTACATCGACTCTAGTTCAGAAAGTGAAAATCTAGAACCAAAAATCGTATAAATGTCAAAATTGAAGAAGATCTTAAGGATATTCCTCCAGGACCAAGTAATTATCAAGACACTCATGAGTTCATGACTCCTGAAGAATACATGAACGATAAGTTCTATAATCTAAACCGATAGGTACTTTGGAGTATCTGATGAAGAAAAAATATTCCCAAAAATTAAATATTCCAAGAATGATGAATATGAATAGAATTAAGGTAAAACCTTACAAGAAAATAAAACAAAGAATTATATTCCAAATGAATTTGTTCCTAAAGATAATTCTAATAATTACAGTGATAACATACTCAACTTAGATTGTTTGACAAAACCAGTTGAAACAATAAAAGATTGGTATAATTATATGTTTGTAGTAATACAAACTAATAGAGAAGAGTTTGAAGATTTAAGAACATTAAAAATATATTTAGACCTTCATATAAAGGGGAATGTTAGAAACTCGTGGGATTCAAACCCATACTTTCCAAGCCTTGATGCTCTTTGGAATAAACCAGAAGATAACATAGAGTATCTAAATGCTTTGGCTCAACTACTCGTTAATGAATTTGTAGGAGTCAGAGAGTTAGATAACACAAGTGTAGTATTAGAGGAAAGACAGAAAAAAGCAAAGTTTATTTATACTTGACAATATTCAAATATGTGATATTTGTTATTGGAAAAACTTTACATGTTAATATGAAAAGTGGTATTACGTGTTAAAACAAGATGATAGACGTTTGTAGTATTTTTAGGCATGTGGTAACCGAGCTGCCCGACTCGGGTCGTTCTCAAAGGAAGGTTGTTCGGAGCTTCGTTTACTACCTAGTCGTCAAAGTCACATAACCGAAAACAAGGTCCTACACATTATACTCGCTTGATGGGGATTGATTGCACGCAATTAAACTAAGAATCTAAGAGCAAATGATGAGAAATGCAAGATTGGAAAGAAAGATCGAAACTTTAGTTGCACGAAGTGTCCATAACTCAAAAAAAGCGAAAATAAGCAAAAGAAAACATGTGAGCATAATGATCCTAGGTAACCGATCACTAGCTATCTACACTAAATCATCACGCTTGAAACAAAGTCGAGACCTTTACTAGATTAGCACGTATTGGTTCCTAACACATAAAGCAAGCAATGAAAATAAAGAGAAAATCTAAAAACGAGCATCAAAACACAATCGAAGAACACATTCGAAGTAGTAAGTCCTAAGTAAGGTACATACTCTCCTACGCGTGCCTGGATGAAAATAATGAAGAAAGCTCAGAACTTGGATAAAAATAAGCACGCCGGAATTTCACCGGAAAAATAGAGTTATGAACCTCCAACTAAAACAATAAAAAATAAAAGAGAAAAAATTGAGAGGATTTCCCAACTTAAAAGTTGGGAAATGAGGGTGATGTCTAAAATTACAAAGCACAATGTCTATTTATAGCTACACCACAAACACACACTAAAAACACGCACATTTAATAAGACACTCTCGAGGTCTCCACAATTTCCTCGAGCTCGCAGGTGGTGATGTGCACGGGCACGCACGGGCACTTGTAGGCGTTGGCGCGGAGAAGGCACACTCTCGAGGTCGCAACGGAATCCGCGTGCGCGGGCTTCGGTGGTCTGGCACTCTCGATCTCGCGGAGTGTTCGGTGTGGTCGCGAGCTACCGAGGCTATGCACTCTCGAGCTCGCGGGGATATCCGCGAGTGCGCAGCTGTGCGGGCGTCTTAGCGTGCGCGGGCGTGCGGGCGTGCGCACTCTCGACCTCGCAAGAGTTTTTGCGAGCACGCGGCGTGCGACGTGTGCGAGCGCGGACGCACTGGGCGACCGAAACACGGGACTCTCGACCGCGCGGCCAATTCCGTGAGCGTGCAGGCTGCATGGTGACGTCGCAGAGTTCCGGGCAATGCGTGTTTGCTCGATCAAAGTTCAAACTACTCGGTTGGGATATGGCTCGTACGAAATTGGCTCGGAACTCTCGGAAATGGCTCGAAATTTATTTGGAAAGGGCTCGTCTCTTCATCCTCAGAATAAATCTGAAAATACACCACAAAACATGGAAACGCATGCCAAAAATAAAAAATAAAATAAAGGCACAAAAACACACGAAAAACGATAAAATAGACCGGTCGACACTAAAATAAACCTAAAACCGACTCGATAACACACATAAACACATAAAAATAAGCACAAAAAACACAACAAACAATAGACCAGCATATGCTGAAAAATATTTCAATAAGCTACCACCATTGTGGGCTTTTGATAGGAACAAAAAATGGTCTAATAAACCTGATCATATTACAGAAGTGTTGTCAAACGGGAATTAACAACGGTCTGATTGTAGTAAATTTAGAGTACAATCAAATATTCAACGATAAGAACTGGTATTTTGTAAAAGGAGATGGAATGTTTATAGTAAAGTCTTATTGTTATTGTCTGTCCTTTGGAGATTTATTTTTTCTCCTTTTATATTTAAGTACAATATTTATCCGTACAGTAATCATTACATTTTGAAAGGTCAAAGGCGGCTCTTAGCTGCTTTTCTTGATAACTCGCCACTTGGACAAACGTAATGATGATTTATGCTGAGTTGTCGCCGCCTTACCATGCTGAGGTGACATGTTATAGATATCGGTTCACCCAGTTATAACCGATATGTTGTGACTGACATATGTTGACCGACGTGTGTTGACCGACATGTGATATCGGTTAAATAATGAAGATGTCGGTTCTTGTTGAATCTTTCATCGTGCAGCCGTCTTGAAGTCGGTGAAAGCGTCACGTGCTTGCATGAATCTTAATTGTCCTTATACTGATCCCAATTGGCGGATCAACGTAACTTAATTCTGGCTTACTGAAAATGATATCAACAAGGTGGCCCCCAGCATTAATGGTCGTCTGGACAGAAGACGGGCAGTGATGCTGAAACTGTAACAGAACTTAACTAAATTTCTGTATTAATGCGACATGTCGGTTCCGTCATCTGCATCCGATGTCTTCACACTTGTAGAAATGATACTTGAAAGTTGAAACGGTGCGCTTTATTGAAATTAATTGCACCGTTTTATCAATAGGGATAACAGTCACTTAAAATAGGCCACGTAGCTGTTATAAAGAGGCACGATTCTCAAGGGTCGCGTCGACTCGCAGATCCAGAACGTGTAATCCACGCGCCCCTATTCCCATCGGTTCCCAACGGTCGCTTTCAAATCTAGGGTTTGATATAAATAAGAATTTTTCTTTTGAGATCTACTTTACTTTCATCTTCTTCTTGCACTCACTCTTTTTGGCTTTCTTTGCAAATTAATCGCTCTTCAACCGTACTCAAAGCACTTCAGATCCACGAACGACTCTCTGTGGTAAGAATTCTTCATCGTATTTTATTTATTTACTCCGACCTTTCCCTCTTTCTCGACATCATGAGTGTATCTTGGGCGTCTTCGGGTGACGACGAGTTGGACGTAATGATGATCAACATGGTCCACTCCGGAGAGTTGGAGTTATTATCTGAGTATAACCAGTGGGATCCAGTGTTTGTTGAACGGCTGAAAATCCGTCTAAATGACAGCGAAGGGGATAAAGTTGTAGAGAGAAACGCCATCGACGACTCGAGATTTTGGAGGCGTCCTATTAGGAGATGGCCGAGTTCTGAAATTA